ACAAGAAGCTACTAGTAGCAAGGGCATCGCTACTAGGAGCAAGGACGTTATTGCGGGCTCCGGGCCTTTCTACTAGGAACAAGAAGCTACTACTCCACACTAAAGGAAACCACCGTGTAGAAGCAGACCTTCTGTAGTCGGTAGGGGAGGACTTTGAGGCTTTGGTATTGGTACCTGCTGAGTTAGTTTTGCACAAGATAGATGCAATTGGGCATCGATCTAAAGGTCCATGAAAGGAGTTTCATATGGAACAGCCATTTCGGTTACTAAGTACCAACCGGGCGAAAGATCGCGAAAGTTAAACACAGGGTTCGCGAAAGTAATCTTTTTTTCGCGAAAGTTCATGTAACCATGTATGTTATTTGTAGGTAAAGGGACCCTTATTTGTTTGCTTACTGTGATCTTTTCAGACCACCAGCTCAGAAGGAAATCAGAGTCTTCCTTTAACTACTATATACCCATGTACCCGAACTTCTTCTGAATATGTAAGATCATACTTCGCGAAAGTTCGCGAAAGTTAAACATGGGGTTCGCGAAAGTATTTTTTTTTTTCGCGAAGAGGCACTTTCCAGATGAAAGGAATTTAGATCAACCACCAGATAGGTCAAGAAGTGAATTCTGTAGACACGAATAGAACATACGGTGTTTGTCAGACATGATTCTGTCGACACTGATAGGCGCTAATAGAAGTGTTCTGTAGACAGAAGTGGTTTCTGTCAGAAGATAGGTCCACCTGAGAAAAGAAGACGGAAACGACTGAAAAGCAAAAGCAACTCTGTAGCCTCAAAGCAAAAGTGAAAGCAAAGACGCATTTCCAAGCACCTTTTGAAGAAGGCAACCGCACGTGCCGAAACTGCAAGATCCAGCGGGAAAAGTGCACCGCTTGAATTCACGACAGGACTAGGTCAAGTTTCCCCAAAAAACTACAAAACAAATGATTAGTGCGTGCGTGAGCTATCCTGCGTCATATGTAGTAGCTTACTCCCTTACTTAAATAAGTAGGCGCCTACTTAATTAAGTAGGAAGGGGGGAGGGGGCTAAAGAATGAGAAAAACAAGAAGAAAAACCACAAAAAAAACGAAGAAAAGAAAAGCAAGAAAAGCTGGCCGTTGGTACTCAGGACTTGGCCAACATCCACGATGCTACCGCGAACATCGAGCGCGTCTTGGGTGCTGTGGAGCGCTATGCCGCAGAGCTCCCGGAGGAGGGCGGGTGGTAGCTAATGGCCTCCAACCTAGCAATGGCCTTTAGTTTTCAGAAAGCTGGATGGAGTCGAGGGAGTCGATGAGAGTGCTTTTTGTCAAGTTCCTTTCACACTTCCCTAGATCTATCCTCGTTCCTAGATCCTTATTCCAAGTCCCAAACTCTATTTTCTTGATGCTACGTTTCTCCTGTTATACAATTTCTGTTGTTTAGTGTGCGTGTGTGACAGAGAGAGACTGGTGACTGGCATTCGTTTCAAGCGATAGATTTATGATATATCAACAGCTGAATGACTGAAAGTCGTCTAGGATCTCCACCAGCCGGAGAACCAGAGGATATCCTGTTAAGAAACAATGCATTGCCAGCCACTGTAGGATGGCGCACCAAAAGACTTGTGGATATGGATTCATGCAGCATGATCGTTTGAAATTGGAATTGTCCAGCCACCAGCCCTGCTTGGGGACATCTTTGTCTTTCCATCGCAGGTGATCGCAAAAGCTGAAGCACAAGTGCCCAAAGGTTTGAATCCTGATCTGGTGCAAGAAGCCAAGTATTGCCTCTCAGCTTAAAACAATTCTTCAAAGAGGAAAGATCAACAAGAAAAGACATGTCTGAAGGAACAAAGAAACAGTAACACAATGTAAACAAAACTATATCACACGATACTGTAATTGTTGTAGACTGTATTGATATAGGCGCAGCTAGCAGCAGCAACTTTGCTGCGGACAAGTTTCACTCCTGGTTGTTGCGCCTAGATGTCTTTGGGAGCTTGATCTGTTTGAATGCCCTTTGTATGACCCAGAATGCAAGAAACACCAAGATCTTCACCGCTCATCTTTGATCTTGAAAGATTCTAGACTGCTCCAACCATCCGCATGTCACATGTCATAAAAGCAAAACCTGTCCACCTTCTAGATTTTCGTTCTTTGTTTTCCCAAACTGATCTCAAAAGACAGATCTTTTGGAAGATTCGGCCACTGAGAGAGCTCAGGTCAGGAGGAGTATGCTGAGACTGTCCAAGAGCAGCTTACCTGCAGAATGGCAAACACAGTGAGTGTGTGTGTGTGTGTGACAGGTTCTTGAAAAGGGGATAGAACAGGCCTTCGACCTTGGCTTGTCGAGTTTCCACAGGTTCAGGTGTAAGCAAGGATGGTTTACAATAGCTTCTAGTAACAGGTGCCACGCTACTAGTAACAGGTGCCTTACTAGTAGTAACAAGAAGCTACTAGTAACAAATGCATCGCTTCTAGTAACAAGTGCCTTACTAGTAGTAACAAGAAGCT